TCTCTACTGTTTCTTAGGTTGCCAGTGCCTTAGATCCGCCCCCCAATCTTCCCCATATCCACACGGAGAATATCGACAACGGCATACCCATTGTTAGCCACCTGGGATATTTGCATTTAAAATATAAAAGCCAAAGCCTTAAACCTATTAAAACCCAACATAGAATGCTTACAGTCAGCTCAAAGGTGTGCATGTTGAGGACAGCAAACTCTACCCATTATTCTCTAAACCTAGACCATGACTTCGGTCACCTCCTACCTTCTCAGGCTATGAGTAAAGCAAATCGAAGTTCTCAGGTGTGAGAAGCAATATACTTTAATCAAGTTGCCTTATAGTGTTGGCAATTATTACCTAGTGCCAATATATATATCATTTCTAATTCAGTTTCACAAATATTTGTTTAAAGCCAGTGACATAATTCAACATATATGAATTCTGTGTATAAAATTTCAATAGAACATTTCCAGGTATACATGACACTATAAAATGACACTGAGTTCTCTGGAGATGGTGGTGTCTCAGTAATCATTGGCTGGTGATAATGGTTTTACTCACAGGGAAACAGGACAGGTGTGAATACGGAAGCCCAGGGCTTGCGGTGGACTTGTCTGTTACGGAAGGAAGTGGGGGTCTAGAAATTGAACTTAGCAATCAGTGGAGTTTTACTTGGCCCAACAAGGCAAAAATTCTCCAAGGGATTTGGAAAACTCCAGGCACAACTTAAGAAACGTTTATCACTGGAAATTGAATATGATGCTCTGTGCTGCCCAGCAGATAGGTAGAACGAGACAAGGAAGATGAATGTCACCTAAGAAGTCAAATAGTACAGGCTTTGGGTCTGATTACAGTAGGGATCCAGCATCCTTCTGAAACATGGCTGTTTCCGTGAGCTATGCCCTCATTCCAACACTTTCATCATTCTACATACTCTCCCAGGTTGAAATCTACCACATACCAGTCTCAGCTAGAGTCTAGGTATTTATGCCTCTCCAATGGACATATTCTCCTTCCCAACTTCCACCTCTCTCCTGAGCTTCACATGCATTTTTCCAAAGATCACCTGAACGTTTCTACTTGGGTATAATATAGGAATCTCAAACTCAGTAGGTCCAAAATCAGGCTCATGGTTTTTCTTCTAATCTTGTCCTTCCCCCTTTATTTCCTGTTATTTGCTGGTTGATATCCATATCAACTCATGGTAAAAAATTAGGAATCATCCCTAATTCTCCTGTGCCATCCATATCCAATTAACAGGAACATTCTTATTCTTAGTCTTATGGTCATTCTATTCCACCTCTTTAATACTTTAAAAATGTGTACTCTCTTCTCCAACTTTACTATCTCTGCCCTAATTCAGACCCTTATCTGTTGCCTGGACTGCTCTAAACTTTTCCTAACTGATCTGTTTCTAGTCATGCCTTTCTCAAATAAACCCTCCTAAAAATTACCAGAGGGACCTGCCCAGAATAGAAAGTGAAATACATCACTCGCCTTCCTAAGATCCATCCGTGGCTATCCATTTAATGCTGATTTCTCATCAGCCACACTAGACCCAAGAAGACAGTGAGGAAAACAGTGAGGGAACATTATTAGCATCCTAGAATTTTATACATGGAAAAATGATCTGCCAAAAGTAAGGAAAAATAGACTTTTGCAGACATGCAATGACTAAGAGGGTTTACCACTCACAGATCCAAACTCTAAATGAATTACTAAAGATTTATTTCAACAAGAAGAAAAATGGAACCAGACTGAAGACATGTTACATTAAAATATTATAAAGCACAGATACTGTCAAATGTGTCAGTAAATTAATTTTATATTGAAAGTTAAAAAAAAAACAAAAACCCTAGATTCTCTGTTTAACAAAAAAGTGAAACCGAAGGCACAGGCAACAATAACATAAAAGTACACAGAGGTGTTTAAGGAGTAGCTAAAGCACGCTAAGAGTCCTTGCCACACTCAGAATAGAAACAAAGTACTGAATAAAGTTAGAGTTTTAAAGATAATTTATACTTAAATATGTAGATAAGAAAATTAAGGATAATAGCTAAAATAACAATAAAATTTATAGATTAAAAACAGTACAGGAGGGACTTTCCAGGTGGCGCAGTGGTTAAGAATCTGCCTGCCAATACAGGGGACATGGGTTCGAGCCCTGGTCTGGGAAGATCCCACATGCCGTGGAGCAACTAAGCCTGTACACCACAACTACTGAGCCTGCTTTCTAGACTGTGAGCCACAACTACTGAGCCCGTGTGCCACAACTACTGCAGCCCACGCACCTAGAGCCCATGTTCTGCAATAAGAGAAGCCACCACAATGAGAAGCCCATACACTGCAACGACGAGTAACCCCCGCTTGCCGCAACTAGAGAACGCCCGTGTGCAGCAACGAAGACCCAATGCAGCCGAAAAATAAATAAATGAATAAAAAAAAAGTATAGGAAAAATAATTATTTTGAGTTAAAGAGAAATTCAAAAAAGAAAGTATTCTTTAAAGGCAAAGAAATAGGATGGTAAACATAAAATGCAAAATAAAATGTTATCAAGTACAAATAGAACAGTAATAAGAATAATTACCAAAAAGCCTAAACTTACCTATTAAAAGACACATACCTACTTGTCTCGAGTACAAAAATAAAATTCAGATTTATACTGCTAAAACAGATATATCCAAAAGGGCACCACAGGTGAATTTTAAATTTTTAAAATAAAGTGTAAAAATATAATATATGCTGTGAAAATATTTATCAAAAAATCAGATGGTAGAATTAATATCAGAAGAACTAGATTGTAAATCCAAAAGCATTAATAGACATACAGAGAGACTACATCTATATAAAAGAAATGAGAACATCATAAAAACTGTAACAATCATAAACTTGAATGCACTTAAAACAGATTTAAAATACATAAAGCAATATCTGGCAGAATTACAGGGAGAAATGGACAGATCCAGTCATAACTGGAGATTTCACACATCAGATAAATAAAAACTGAAGATAAATGTGTTAAGCTTTCAAATCAAGAAGATTTTAAAAGTAACCCCGAAGAAAATCTGAAGAAAATGAGTAAACAAATAATAAGGCTAAGAATATAAACGTAGAGTAAACAAAAAATCAATCAAGAGTCTTAATGGAGGCAAATGAGCAATTGTATATTTTAAAAAATGAATAAAAACATATGTCTTAATATTAGGAATGAAAAGAAGAATATAACTATAGATTTAGTGTTATTTTAAAATTATGATAGTATTCTTATATATTTTCTTATAGACATGTAAAATATCTCTCGAATAATACATGAAAAGCACTGATTCCTCCAAGGAGAACAACTGTTTGCTGGGAGGGCAGCAAGGGGAGACAGATTTTATTTCGAACAATTTGAATGTATTGCCTATCCAACAAAACTGTAACAGAAGGGAATGCATTTTAAAAGGTAATACAATAATATGACAATGCTAATCCCATCAGTTTTAGACTAAGTTAATCCAATTAGAATTAAATTAATAATAAAGTGATTGAATAATCATTAAAAATCAAAAATTGTATCAGAAATCATGACTTTCCTACCATTCACCACACCTAAAAAAAAAAAAGGCACCAGAACTCCTACAGATCAATAAGAAAAATAAGTAAATAACCCAAAGAAAAAGTGGACCAAATATAGGAACAGGTAATTGTCACAGAAGATAAAATCCAAATGGTCAACAGAAATATATGAAAACCTTTCTTGTATTCAAGGAAATTCTAATGAAAACACAGAAATATCATTTCATTCCAACTGAATTGACAAAAACTGACAATAACAAGGATTGATAAGATGTGAGTCAAAGAGACTCTGCTACACAGCTATTGGGTTAGAAATTGATACAGCTGGATGGCAGTGTGTCACTATGCTGTAAACTTTGGATGTGTGTGCCCTGACTCAGTGATTCCTTTCCCTGTAGATACACTGTAGTGAAAGTCACACCTGTGAGCACAGGAGGACATGTCCAAGAATAATCACTATAGCCTCGTTTGCAATAGAGTGAAACTGATAACAACATAAACAATAAGAATTAACAAATTTTGTTACAATCATGTAGAGAAATTCTATACAGAAATAAAATCAATGAACCAGAAATACATATATGTGTTTGTGTGTGTTTGTATGTGTATGTAAATCAAAGATAATATTGAGAAAAAATAAAGTTCCAAAAGTAGACATAAGGTATGATATATTTATATAAACTTTATAAACATAGAAAATACATTCTATATTGTTTATAATTACATACATACCTAGGAAAGGGAATTATTCCCTTTGGGTAAAGGGAATCATTCTTTACAAAAAATAATAATCTCTGGGGCTTCCCTGGTGGCGCAATGGTTGAGAGTCTGCCTGCCAATGCAGGGGACACAGGTTCGTGCCCCGGTCCGGGAAGATCCCACATGCCGCGGAGCGGCTGGGCCCGTGAGCCATGGCCGCTGGGCCTGCGCGTCCGGAGCCTGTGCTCCGCAACGGGAGAGGCCGCAGCGGTGAGAGGCCCACGTACCGCAAGGGAAAAAAAAAAAAAAAAACTAATCCTTAAGTGAAAATAAAAGGTTTTTAAAAAATAATAATCTCTAATGTATCTCTTCTGTAAACTGAAACTTTTGTACGTTGAATATTTCAATGTTATTTGCTTATTTAGTGCTTGATTAAACCAGTCTTTGAAAACAAAGTCTTATAAAATAAATTATATTATTTGAGAACTTTATTCTGAAAACAATTATCTTTCATTGAGCAGGCAAGAAAGAATTTTAGAGCAACAAGTAATGTGTTTCAAGGAATTTTCTATTTTACTATGTAATTTATAATTACCCAATATGAAAACTAGTATGCTTGTCTATGATTACATTCTCTTTAAATGGCAAGGTATAGAAAGAAACACACTAATACTACTTCTTTTCCAGTTTTATATAATATAACAAAACTTGAAATATTAGTAATAGAATGCTGATAATGAGAACTAACCTTGAGATGAGAGTGATGAGGATTTAGCTTCATCACCCCTTGAGGCACAAATGTTTTTCTCTGTTTCTTTCTCTGAAAGGCCAGCTGTGTTATCGACACCTGATTCTGCTTTCTCTGCTTCAGCCATTAAACAAACTGGAAATTCAGGGGGAAGCTGAATACACCTTTCATGGTTTTCTTGATCATCCAAATGTAGAGGAAGTTTAATTACCTATTAAAAGATAGATCTGTTATTGAAACTGTTGAAAATATTACACACACAGCTAATTATTTCTCTAGAACAAGGATATAATTTGCAAAATCCAAAAGGTCAACGATGAATTCAATTTTTCTAAAACTTCTATTTGTTTTTGTTTGGTTTCATTACAAAAAAATGCATTTTTTGTATTAACAGGTTTACATACAATGTCATTGCTCTATATATTTATTAGTTTCTTTGTTTTATCTTATCATTTCTTTATATTTTTCTTCCAAATAACACTGTGTGTCTAATATTCATGCTGGAATAAAATTAGCAAATATTTATTTACTAGCAAGTATTTACTATCTTCAAGAAACAATATTTTAAGTTCAAAAATAAATGATCAGATGGTAGAATCTAGTGGTGAATATAAGGGTGCTCAATATGCAATTTTTTCAACTTTTCTCTATGCCTAAAATGTTAATAATAAAATGCTTGGTAGAAATAATCAATGACACAGGAAATGAAGTATTCAGGAGAGTGAGGGATTGATAGAAAAGGTTTTCTAGGAAAAAGTTAAAGGCTACCTTCCTTGCATAATTTTCCGTCTTACATTCTTTCACACCCACTCTGGGGGTTGAATCAGAACAACTTCCAGTCTCCTCCTTAAAGCTCAGGGTTATTAGCCTGAGTTCTACCCCTAGTAACACATGAGGTCATGGCTGAGGCACACACCCTGGCTCTGCCAGCCCCTCTGACTGTGGCAGTTTCCTTCCTCCAACAGACACGGGAGGGAAATGATCAGGACTTTACTTGTTTCCTCTAATCTCTAAGTCTGCATTGCAAAACCACTTTTCTGTTCCAATATCTACTTTATCTACTTTATCTACTTTATCTTTCTCTTCTCTTCCCAACCTCAAGTTATTCTTCTCCTAAAAGGACTACTCAAAATTAACTTGTTCAGAAATGATTGCATTTGAGAAAACTCACATCAGAAAAATCCACGTATTTCACAATTGCACAAGGAGGAAAATAGGGTTTCAAGACAAAAATTTTTATTTTCATCCTTGTGAAAGAGAAGCATCTACATTCGTACTTATTCTTCCTTACAATCAGAAAATCATACATCTTGAATAATAGTACTATTCTCATTAGTAGGACTCACTACCCCTCCCCAACTCCTTATGGAATGTACACAGGGAGAAAACTTCTGTTATTGTCTATCAAATAAGAAAGCTAGTGTACAATTATGTCCATTTATAATGGATAAAAGTCAGACAGACTGAAAAAAAAATCAAACATACAGGTAACGAAGAAAATAAATCACAGCCTTTTATGATACAAGCACCCCAGAAAAATAACATAAACAGGTAGAACAAATTTGGTAGAATAATTTGACTAAAATTTTTTGGAATGCTTTATATTTCACGTATGCTGTCGTTTTCTTTTTTGGATCCTCCAAGGTGGTGGCCTAAAATGAATTTACACAACAGCATTTCTGCTAAAAGACTTGGTTAGAAAATAGAATGCCAAACCTATACCAATAAATGATGTGTGACCAAGTGGTTTTTTTTTTTAAATTTTTTATGTAAACTAGGCAGCTTACATTGAAGCCATGTGTATGGCAAAGAGAGCTTTCTGATGGCCACTTTCATCCTGTGGAAATGTGGGTCATTGGGTATCTGTTGTTGGTCTCATCAAATAAATGTCAAGCATGCAGAAGGCAGAGACCACATCTATCTCTTCACATCCCTGGAACAAGCAGTGCTCAACACACAACAGAAGCTCAATAAGAACTTTCAATAAAGAAATATATCCCCCGTCCCATGTCGGTGAGAGCAGTCTGCTCCAGTAGCAACAGATTGTAAACTGAGAAATCAGGGGACTTGGATGGCTGTCCGGACTTATTTATAACATAGACGTCTGGATTAAATTATCCTTAAGATTTCTAACTCTAGAATTTTACCCCTTGTTTGTAGACATAAATTTAATCTGCATTATGAGAAATCAGTATTAAGATGTAATTACTTTTATAGGTTTTGATACTGGAATGTTCAATATCATGAAAGGAAGCTAAAGGCTAAAAAGCAGCAGCTTTGGAAATTTTTTTAATTCTTTTTCCCATTCACAAAATCATATTGCAAACCTGAAAGTAGAGATTGCACAGCCAGTGGTCCAGGTCCAAGCAAATCAAATCTTCAATTTTCCTGAAGTTGTCGAGTTTCTGGTCATAATGTCCTCGGAGAAGTGGACACTTGAATTTTCCCTCCACTACATCCAAATTGCTATCATACAAAGGGAAAGTTGTCCAGCCCACAACTTGGTGGAGACGAGCATATTTCCCACGAAGGAGAATGAGTTCAAACAAGAAAGCGGCACCAGGTTTCACATCCTTCTTAGACGGGAGTACCTAGGACAGACATTAGGACAGGGGAAGATCACGATGCTTGTATTTAGAAACACATCACAGTCAGTGATGCCCACAGATAATTTAGAGTTTAAGAGTTGGTTTGTACTTTTACTGTTTGCTCTTAAAAACTCACCATTGGGTGCACTCACGTAAATAAATGTTCCAGCGCAAGGTAATTGAGCAAACATACCACCGTGAAAATATGACCCCAAAAAACAAGATAAATTTGACCCTGCCAGTTCAAGATTCTGCCCTTTATGAGCTTTAGGACTCAAACTTGTAATATGTTAACTAAAGTGGTATACTGTATTGTTGCTTGAGCTGGTACTTCTTTGTATAACTATTTCTATCTTTTGTTTTATTGCTTTACTTGCTGTCATTCATCTTTGTAGCATTCAGGTAACCAGCACAAGTGCTTTGAACAGAAGAAATGCTTTTCTTAAAAAAAAAAAAAAAATGGTTGGACAAACTATCACACTCCAGAGAAGCTAATCCTGGGCATAATGATAGTCTGAATTAACTATTACAAGGTCTACCTCTTCAAAGAAATATAGTGTCCCATTTAATTTTGTGACTACTCTGTATATTTCAGTTGACACTATAATGCACATCACTGTATAAGCAATTTGTCAGTGCTAAGTAAATAGTGTTAGGCATAAAGATGAATAGAATGATCAGATTGACCAAGCCATTGTTCACATCCCCAGACTAGAGATGGAGGCTATTCTCCAGCCTTTAAAAAAATTTTTAGGCAAGTGCAAGACATGAATAATCTTTTTTTAAAATAGAGTATAGCCTTCATTTTTTTTAATTCTGTGTGAATAATTATAAATGGACAAAGATAGGGACCTGCCTAAGATTATTTTATAACAATACATTTAACCAAAATTATGTAGGCATATTTTATATGATTTATATAAATACTCCAAGACTTAGTTTATGTTTAAAATGAAGCAGAAGCATCTGTTGAAAAATGCCATAACCCTGTGGCAGCCGCTACTAAACCATTAACAGGATCAGGTTTCATTTAAACCAGATTTACCATTTTCTACAACAGCCCATGGGAGAGCTAAAAACATTATGCACAAATTACAGACAAAAGAGATTCTTAATCAAGCCATACTTTTCATTTGGTTAGATGGCTGTGAGTAACCCTCGTGATAAGAGAATAAAAGCTAAATGAGAAGGAGGAGGAAAAATGGGGTCAGAAACCTGTTTCTGACCATCGTTTAAAAATAAAGCTGAACTGCTGCTATTACAGTCATTTCATCAATTTTTGTCTCTGCATTTAGAAGTGAAAACTAATGTCCCTCTTATACTAACCTGATCTTACTCAGTGATATGTTCAAAATATTAATAGATTAAGTAAGAAGTTGACCAGTACTGACCCAATTCTATCATTAAGTTTCCTGTGGTCTTAGGCAAGTCACTTCTCTTTTTGTATCTAAGTTTCCATGCATTCAAATTTCCTCATCCATGAAATAAAGAATATAAGCATCTTCCTCACAGAGTTGATGCAATTATCAATTTGGATAACAAATATTAAAATGTTCATTAAAATGTACGTAAATATTATTATTATTAATCTTATGACTTTACCCCAACTATTTCTATGCCTTAGCTTATAGTTTATTTTAATAAAGAAGAAAAGAACACTTTAAGGTTGAAGATCATCTTTAAATACGTAAAACACTAGTACCATTTTGTGCATGAGAAACAGTTCAAGGCTACCAAACATAACCCAGTAACACCAGGCAGCATTGTGTCACCTGGAACAATGTAAATTAGAAGCCAGTCTTTAGGCACAAAAGGATCTTCATGAACTTCAGCCTATTTCACAAGATAGAGGTGTCACATGCAATTACCCTGACAGCCCCCCCAAAAAATAAGTATTTGAACAAGATAAAACCTAGTCACTGATATTGATTGAAAAGGAGGGTAAGAGCCATATGTTATCAAACTGAGGAATTTATCTGACAACACTTGTCTTATTTATTCTTTTAGTGCCTTTCCCTTGCTGTATGTTGTAGGAGAGATCTTTTGCCCTGTAATGTGTAGGTTGGGACTCATTTTTTTCCTCTCTGGCAAGAAAGGATCACTAAGTTTCATTGTACCTCCCAGAGGAAGCTTTCCGCAAACCTCAGTATTTCCATAGCTCTCCTATGATGTGATGTTTCCATAGTTTTCTGTAGCTTTGTAATTGAATGCTATATAATAAAGGAAATAAATGGATCAGTCTCCTCCCAACTACCAATGCTATCTCATCATCAAAGTCCTGGTAACTGGAGGTCATAATTTCTTCGGAGTAGCTTTATTTTCTGAGTGCCATGAAGGGCATTCTTTTTTGAAGGAAGAGACATTAGAGAGCTGAACTTCATTGCATAACATAAGGGTAATGCGTTTGATCTTCCATATCAAAGAAGGTGAATGTGAAAGGAGAGTGGAGAACAAGCAGAAAAGAAACAAACAAGAATTTTGAAGGCTGAGGTCTGTACGGAGGATTGGAAGAGAAAGCAAAATTCCTTCCACTTGGACAGCAAATACTTTTAAATTGAAGCAACTCAGAAAGGATTAAGGAAGTCTTACAAAATGATGAAAATGCGTATTGACGAAGTATTTTTCAATTGTCTGGATTTTCTGAAATATTTGGAAAGATTATTGTTTTCATACTCAGAAAAAAAGTTGACAAAGTAATTTCAAAAACAGAAGGCTTTCAAAGTTCTGCTTCTCCTTATGATGGAGATGGTCATAAATAACCATAATTCTTACAGTAACAAGGAAAAAACTACAGGTAAATTACAAAATTACGTATATTTTAAACACCTTGGGAAGCTGAGGACATGAAGCTTAGGGGAAACTAAATCTCAGAGAGCATAACCCCTTCATATATGAGTTAAGACTAGAGGTAGCTTTTTTTTTTTTATCTTTATTGGAGTATAATTGCTTTACCATGGTGTGTTAGTTTCTGCTTTATAACAAAGTGAATCAGTTATACATACACATATATTCCCATATCTCTTCCCTCTTGCATCTCCCTCCCTCTCACCCTCCCTATCCCACCCCTCCAGGCAGTCACAGAGCACCGAGCTGATCTCCCTGTGCTATGCGGCTACTTCCCACTAGCTATCTACCTTACGTTTGGTAGTGTATATATGTCCATGCCTCTCTCTCGCTTTGTCACAGCTTACCCTTCCCCCCCCATATCCTCAAGTCCATTCTCTAGTAGGTCTCTGTCTTTATTCCTGTCTTACCCCTAGGTTCTTCATGACATTTTTTTTCTTAAATTCCATATATATGTGTTAGCATATGGTACTTGTCTTTCTCTTTCTGGCTTACTTCCCTCTGTATGACAGACTCTAGGTCTATCCACCTCATTACAAATAGCTCAATTTCATTTCTTTTTATGGCTGAGTAATATTCCATTGTATATATGTGCCACATCTTCTTTATCCATTCATCTGATGATGGACACTTAGATTGTTTCCATCTCCAGGCTATTGTAAATAGAGCTGCAATGAACATTGGGGTACATGACTCTTTTTGAATTATGGTTTTCTCAGGGTATATGCCCAGCAGTGGGATTGCTGGGTCGTATGGTAGCTCTATTTTTAGTTTTTTAAGGAACCTCCATACTGTTCTCCATAGTGGCTGTACCAATTCACATTCCCACCAGCAGTGCAAGAGGGTTCCCTTTTCTCCACACCCTCTCCAATATTTATTGTTTCTAAATTTTTTGATGATGGTCATTCTGACTGGTGTGAGATGATATCTCATTGTACTTTTGATTTGCATTTCTCTAATGATTAATGATGTTGAGCATTCTTTCATGTGTTTGTTGGCAGTCTGCATATCTTCTTTGGAGAAATGTCTATTTAGGTCTTCTGCCCATTTTTGGATTGGGTTGTTTGTTTTTTTGTTACTGAGCTGCATGGGCTGCTTGTAAATTTTGGAGATTACTCCCTTGTCAGTTGCTTCATTTGCAAATATTTTCTCCCATTCTGAGGGCTGTCTTTTGACCTTGTTTATGGTTTCCTTTGCTGTGCAAAAGCTTCGAAGTTTCACTAGGTCCCATTTGTTTATTTTTGTTTTTATTTCCATTTCTTTAGGAGGTGGGTCAAAAAGGATCTTGCTGTGATTTAGGTCATAGACTGTTCTGCCTATGTTTTCCTCTAAGAGTTTGATAGTTGCTGGCCTTACATTTAGGTCTTTAATCCATTTTGAGCTTACTTTTGTGTATGGTGTTAGGGAGTGATCTAATCTCATACTTTTGTATGTACCTGTCCAGTTTTCCCAGAACCACTTATTGAAGAAGCTGTCCTTTCTCCACTGTACATCCCTGCCTCCTTTGTCAAAGATAAGGTGACCATATGTGCATGGGTTTATCTCTGGGCTTTCTATCCTGTTCCATTGATCTATCTTTCTGTTTTTGTGCCAGTATCACACTGTCTTGATTACTGTAGCTTTGTAGTATAGTCTGAAGTCAGGGAGCCTGATTCCTCCAGCTCCGTTTTTCATTCTAAAGACTGCTTTGGCTATTCGGGGTCTTTTGTGTTTCCATACAAATTGCGAAATTTTTTGTTCTAGTTCTGTGAAAAATGCCAGTGGTAGTTTGATAGGGATTGCATTGAATCTGTAGATTGCTTTGGGTAGTAGAGTCATTTTCACAATGTTGATTCTGTCAATCCAAGAACATGGTATATCTCTCCATCTATTTGTATCATCTTTAATTTCTTTCATCAGTGTCTTATAATTTTCTGCATACAGGTCTTTTGTCTCCTTAGGTAGGTTTATTCCTAGGTATTTTATGCTTTTTGTTGCAATGGTAAATGGGAGTGTTTTCTTGATTTCATTTTCAGATTTTTCATCATTAGTGTATAGGAATGCCAGAGATTTCTGTGCATTAATTTTGTATCCTGCTACTTTACCAAATTCATTGATTAGCTCCAGTAGTTTTCTGGTAGCATCTTTAGGATTCTCTATGTATAGTATCATGTCATCTG